TCACCCCTCTCTGCAAGAGCCTTGCTTTCCTTACATCACATCCTAATTCTTGTACTTTCAGTTTTGCACGGTTTATTCTTAGCTTTTCAGCCGCCTAAAACTCTTGTTCCCATTTGTACTTGATGCCGTTGCAATGCCAGGTGGCATCTTACGTGGCGCCCTTTGATTCGCTGCTGGATGAGGCAATCACCAAGGCCAAGTCAGATCAAGACATGCTCACCAGCCTCCTGGGTGCGTATACCCTGTAGCTGTATCCCCTCTGCTCTTTTTCGTTTGGTGTCTCGAAGTGTGTCTGCTCTTTCCATACTATTTTTTTCGTTCTTCCGCCCTCCCTTTCCTGGAGAAGGAAGTAGCAGGCACATTCCAGTTCCCCATTCCCTTTCTCATTTTCCCGTCCCTCTCCCCTCCCTCCCTCCCTGCAGCGCTCTCCTCCCACCCTCTCCTGCCCAAGGCCCATCCCACCATCGAGCACCTTCTCCCTTTCTGTTTTAACACACACACACATTTGTTCTTCCATCCATCTCCCTCCCTTCTGCCCTGCAGCGCTCTCCTCCCACCCTCTCCTGCCCAAGGCCCATCCCACCATCGAGCACCTTCTACCTCTCTACGTCGCTGCTGGTGCTGCCACTCATTTTTCCCTCTCCTCTCTTCCCTCTCTCTCCCTTCTCTAATCCCTCCCTAACTGCAGCGCTCTCCTCGCACCCTCTCCTGCCCAAGGCCCATCCCACCATTGAGCACCTCCTCCCTCTCTACGTTGCTGCTGGTGCTGCCACTGGCAATGCTGCACCTTCTAACGAGGATGGAAACGTTTCAGGAGGAGGAAAATCCCAGCCGTCCGTTGCCCCACAGAAGCTCTTCCAGATGCACATCTGGACGCTCAGCAACGCGGCCTTCAGCTTTGGAGATATGCCAAACGAGAAAGCAGCAGTGCAGGCATAGGGTCAGTTAACCATGAGGAGGGGAAGGAGGAAGATTTCAGCCATCCATTGCCCCACAGAAGCTTGGGAATGCGGCCTTCAGCTTTGGGAGTATGCCCAGGGAGAAGCAAGCAGCGTCAGCATAGGCTGCTGTTTGGCATGTTCAGCTTTCGTCACTGAGCTTTGTTGATATGCATGTTTATGTATTATGTTACACTGCATTATATATATATTTGCTATCGTGTGCTCATACAGTGCATGTTAAAGAAACCATTCACAAGCCCATTGAATCCCAGTTCATTGGGGCAACATGACACATCTCTGGCACAATGACAGAGGAAGCATGAGAACTACCGGTACAGCTGCCTACCGGTATATTGATCGAGCCCAAATAAGCTTCTAACTAGGAGAGCTTGCTACAGTGGATCCATTCTTTACTGGGTGCTGGAAACTGTTTATAAAGACCTTTCGTACTGATCAAGTGCGAACTGGATTTCAAGAACTTTCGACAGTGTGTCAGCCAGTTATCCTATCAGGATAGGCAATACAATCACAGATGCTGGAAGGAAGGTGCAAGCTGTTGGTAGTCAGGTCAGGCCGTCAGACCCATCGAATTGACGGCACCACATCAGAAGGACCGACTATACAACTTAATGCAGCTGCTGCCACTATCCTGTGCATACTGAGTGAATGCTGCTGAAAGCTGAAAGCTGCTGTTACTCAGACCCGTCGCCCTGAAATCACCCTATCAAAAGGCCCGGCAATACGACCACCAACACTGCTGCCAATATCCTGTGCATACTGAGGGAATGCTGGAAGGTGCAAGCTGCTGCTACTCAGACCCATCGAGTTAGAATCACCCTATGAGAAGGACTGGCAACACGACCACCAATACTGCTGCCAATATCCTGTAAATACTCGAGTGAATGCTGGAAGTTGCAAGCTTCTGCTAGTCAGACCCATTGTCTTCAAATCACCCTATCAAAAGGACCGGCAACACGACCACCAACACTGCTGCCAATATCCTGTAAATACTTGAGTGAATGCCGGAAGCTGCTGAACACAAGGGACAGAGGAGGATAGAATGCAGGCAGAGGAGGTGGTGGGAGCATAGGGTATGGCTTTTGAGGCGCCTCAAAATTTGACCGCAAATGCAGCTGCTGCCAATATCCTGTAAATACTCGAGTGAATGCTGGAAGCTGCTGGGCAGAAGGGACGGAGATTTATACAAGGAGGGCAGTAGAGTAGATTTATACAAGGTGGGGTGAGAGCATGAGGTGAATCAGACATGCTTCTCCATAGCCTTCTGATTAAGACAAGCATCTTATTTTAACTTGACTCATAAGCTCACCCGTTTCGAATCTCACGGATTTAACTTGATCTGCCCGCTTCGTTTCTCACTCCCTCTCACATCCTTCTCCATCCCTCTCCTTACCTCCCTTGACATTGCACGGCACACAGAAGGCTGGGTGGTTCTTGCAGCGACTTCACATCCTCCTCTCTTCACTTCCTCTCACTCCCTCTCCTCACCTTCTATCCCACTCCCTCTCATCGCGTCCTCACTCACTCACGCCCTCCCTTCGTCTCCTTTCCAGTAGCACGGGGCACAGAAGACCGGGCAGCTCTTGCAACCGCGCCACACATGGCAGCAGCACATGTGCCTTGCTATCCTCTCTCACCCTTCGCACTCCCTTCCATCACTTCGACTCACTCCTTCCCCTCACCTCCTTTCCCATAGCACGGGGCACAGAAGGTCGAGCAGTTCTTGCAACCGCGACACACATGGCAGCAGCACATGTGCCTTGCTATCCTCTCTCTCTCCCTTCGCACTCCCTTCCATCACTTCGACTCACTCCCTCTCCTCACCTCCCATCCCATAGCGTGACGCACAGAAGGTCGAGCAGCTCGTACAGCCTTGACATAGGGCAGCAATACATGGAACCCCCACTTCTACTCACCCTTCCCACTTCTCTCACTCCACGTCTCACTCCCTCTCCTCACCTCCCATCCCATAGCGTGGCGCACAGAAGGTCGGGCAGCTCGTACAGCCTTGACATAGGGCAGCAATACATGGAACTCCCATTCTACTCACCCTTCTCACTTCTCTCACTCCACTTCGTCTCACTCCCTCTCCTCACCTCCTTTCCCATAGCACGGAGCACAGAAGGTCGGGCAGCTCTTGCAAAACGCAGTGGTGCTTTTCTGGGGCACCACGCAGTTTCCATCGGTCGGGCAGGACAGAAAATTCCTGTCGTAGTCCCTGGAGCAGCAGGAAAGGAGGGACATGGGCAGGACAGAAAGGAACAATAACAATATTGGCATAGGTGCTGGAGTAGGAGGGCGGCAGGGGGGCATTCACAGCAGAGTGTACACACGCATAGAAACGAGAGCAGAGAGGAGAGAGAAGAGAGAAGAGAGCAGAGAGCAGAGAGAAGAGGACGGAGAACAGGGAGCAGAGAGCACAGACCAGAGAGACGAGAGCACTCACAGCAGGGTGAGCTTGGTAAACGAGCCAAGTGTAGCAGGCAGGAGAGTGTGGCGATGGTGAGGGACGCACGGTACAGAGCAGAGAGCAGAGGGCAGAGGGCACTCACAGCAGGGTGAGTTTTGTGAGAGAACCGAGAGTAGCAGGCAGTATCCCCGCCATCCGGTTGCCTGACATGTTGCTGGGGGGGGGGGGTGGGGGGGGGGTGGGGACAGAGGGGTGCAGAGCGGTTGAGGTGGTTGAGCATGGGCGTGCTGGTGTTACCAAGGGTGGCTGCAGAGCGGTTGAAGCGGGTGAGAGGGAGTGGGTGGTGGTACTGAGGGTCAGGCAGGATCCCTGCCATCCAGTTGCCTGACATGTTGCTGGTGGATGGGGAACAGAGCGGTGCAGAGCGGTTGCGGTGGGTGAGCATGGGTATGATGGGTGGCTGGCAGGCAGAATTCCTGACTTCCGGTTGCCTGACAAGGCTAGGATCCTTTAGGCGACTTAAAGCTCACCACCACCACTCACCAGGGCCATCAATTTGACAAGGCTAGGATTTTTTAGGTGACTCTCACCACCACCACTCACAGGGCCGTCAGTTTGACAAGGTTAGGTTACCCATGCTGGTGCACGGGACTAGTCCCCTGCAAGCGGTTGTTACCGCCTCACACCTCGTATCCCCACATCACCTCCACCACCACTCACAGGGTTGTCAGTTTGACAAGGTTAGGTTACCCATGGACCATGGTGGTGGACGGGACTGGCCCCTGCAGGCGGTTGTTACCGCATCACACCTCTTATCTCCACATCACCACCACCACTCACAGGGCCGTGGGCTTGACAAGGTTAGGTTACCCATGGACCATGGTGGTGGACGGGACTGGCCCCTGCAGCTGTTCGGTTGACGCCCATTCCCCCATCACCCACCAGTCGCCCCACTCACTATAACCCATGCTACTACATCACACTCCTTATCACTGCACACCACCACTCACAGGGCCGTCAGCTTGACGAGGTTGCCCATGGTGGACGGGACTGTTGCAGGTGATTCACGCTCATTGCTCTCACCCGGCTTTCTCCCTACTCATTATGCCCCACGCTACTACATCACACCCCATAATACCGTATCACACTGCACACCACCACTTACAGCGCTGTCAGCTTGACAGGACTGTCCATGGTGGACAGGACTGCCGGAGGTTAACACTCATTCCTCACTCGCCTTCCGGCCTACTCATTATACCCCATGCTACCGCATCACCTCTTGTGTCACCGCATCAGACCACCCACACACTCACAGCGCTGTCAGCTTCACAAGGTTCCCCATGGTGGACGGGACTGGCCCCTGTAGGCGGTTGACGCCCATTCCTCTGACTCGCCTTCCGGCCTACTCATTTTACCCCATGTTACCGCATCACACCTCGTGTTACTGCATCACACCACGCACCACCACTCACAGCGCTGTCAGCTTGACACGATTGCCCATGGTGGACGGGACTGGCCCCTGCAGGCGATTGGTTGGAGCTCATTCCCCTCACACACCTTCCGGCCTACTCATTATACCCCATGTTACCGCATCACACCCCATGTTACTGCATCACACCGCACACCATCACTCACAGCGCTGTCAGCTTGACAAGGTTCCCCATGGTGGACGGGACCGGCCCCTGCAGGCGGTTGACGCCCATTCCCCTGGCATGGGAAAGGGGGGCGGCGGGGGAGACCGCAGGAGGGCAGGCAGGAAATGGAAGGCAGATAAGCTCAACGATGTAAGGGCGGGGGGCAGCTGGTGGGAGGGACTGGCCCCTGCAGGCGGTTGACGCCCATTCCCCTGGCACATGGGAGGATGGCGTAGGGAAAGGGGGAAGGGGAGGATGCATGGTGGACGGGATGGGGATGCATGGTGAAGGGGGAGGGGAGGGACAGTGGAGGTGGGGATATGGAGGATCGGTAAAGGTGACTTTTGAGTCGACTCAAAAGTCACCTGGAGGTGGGGATATGGAGGATCGGTAAAGGTGACTTTTGAGTCGACTCAAAAGTCACCTGGAGGTGGGGATATGGAGGATCGGTAAAGGTGACTTTTGAGTCGACTCAAAAGTCACCTGGAGGTGGGGATATGGAGGATCGGTAAAGGTGACTTTTGAGTCGACTCAAAAGTCACCTGGAGGTGGGGATATGGAGGATCTTGCGACGGTGTTGGAGGTTCTTGCGACTCATTTCCTTAGCATAAAATATGAGCGTTAAAGAAAGGTTGGAGGAGGCGAAGGGGGGTTTTCCTGGCTTGCACAGCTTTCCTGGACTACACTAGATGCTGACTCACAGGTACTCCAGGCTGACTAGGTTCATGATGGAGTCGGGTATGAAGCCGTTGAAGCGATTCTCTGACAGGAGCCTGCAGGGGAAGAAAAGGAACAGGGGAGTGAGGGAAGAAGAGTACAAGGGAACGAAGGGAGTCATGGAGCGGGGGTACTCCAGGCTGACTAGGTTCATGATGGAGTCGGGTATGAATCCATTGGAGCGATTCTCAGAGAGGAGCCTGCAGGGAAACGGGGAGAGGGAATTGGGGGAGTGGGAGGGTAGGGATGAGGGGAAGGGGGGTTGGGGTTGGACTGGAAATGAGTGGAGGGGGTAGTTAGTTGGTGGGATGGGCAGAGAGATAATAAAGGAGTCGGGCGGAAGGCAGTTGAAGCGATTCTCTGATAGAAGCCTGCAGAGAAATGGGGAGGGGGGAAGGGGGAGTGTTGTGGGGGGGGGGGGGGCGGGGGGGGGTGGGGGGGGGGTGGAAGGTTGGGTAGAGGGTGGACTAAAATTGAGGGGACGAGATGGAGTGAGAGATGGGGTCTGGGGTTCGAGCAGCATCGGGCATCCATAAGGTTGATCGCACAGTTGCTGCTCACCACACCAACAGTGGGATCCAGGGAGGAGGAAACTCACGCGTCAACCACCCTGCCGCACCCCATCACCAACTCACAGATGCTCGAGAGATGAGAGGGAGGAGATGGAGCGAGGGATGGGGTGTGAGGCTTGAGCACCATGGGGCAATCCTGAAGTGAGGCCACTCAGGAGGAAATCACACTGCCGCAACCCCATCACCAAGTCACAGATGCTCAAGAGCAGAGAGAGAGGAGATGGAGCGAGGGATGCTGCCTGCAACACCACCATCTCACACTTATCACCATTGCACCCCCACCATCTCACCCACACTCGTCACCAACTCACAGATGCTCGAGAGCAGAGAGAGAGGAGATGGAGCGGGGGATGCTGCCTGCAAGCTTGTTGCCTCGGAGGTCCCTGGTGGGGTGAGAGAGAGGGTTGGGAGGTGGGGGGTTACGTTGGTGAAATATGTGGGAGAGTAAGATGAGAGAGAGGAGATGGAGCGAGGGATGCTGCCTGCAAGCTTGTTGCCTCGGAGGTCGCTGGTGGGTGTGGAGAGTAAAGAAGGGGGGAGGATGGGGAGATAACAGCAGGGACGAAGCATGGAGAAACGGCGATGGCAGGGTCAAGGCTAAGGGTGACTCACAGCGTCTTGAGGGGAAGAGCCGTGACAGAAAAGGCAGTATGTGTGATAGTAACGAAGGTCAAAGCAGGCAGCCATCCGTGACTCACAGTGTCTTGAGCGGAAGAGCCTGGTTGCTCGTGACAGGGAAGGTGGCATGTGTGCTTGTAACGAATGTCAGAGCAGGCAGCAGTAACTTCTCCTGGCTGTGACTCACAGTGTCTTGAGGGGAAGAGCCTGGTTGCCCGTGACAGAAAAGGCAGTATGTGTGATAGTAGCGAAGGTCAAAGCAGGCAGCCATCCGTGACTCACAGTGTCTTGAGGGGAAGAGCCTGGTTGCCCGTGACAGAAAAGGGAGTGCGTGTGATAATAACGAGGTCAAAGCAAGCAATCACTCCTGGCTGTGACTCACAGTGTCTTGAGGGGAAGAGCCTGGTTGCTCGTGACAGGGAAGGTGGCATGTGTGCTTGTAACGAATGTCAGAGCAGGCAGCAGTAACTTCTCCTGGCTGTGACTCACAGTGTCTTGAGGGGAAGAGCCTGGTTGCCCGTGACAGGGAAGGCAGTGTGTGGGTTAGTAGCGAAGGAGTAAAAAAGCCAGCAATCACTCGTGGCTGTGACTCACAGTGTCTTGAGGGGAAGAGCCTGGTTTCCCGTGACAGGGAAGGTTCCTTGCAGGCTGTTCCCTCCCAGGCCGCTGCAAGGGAAGGTGAGGGCGCAGGAGAGGAAGGATTGAATCGACTTAAAAACACATCGTGAGGGGAAGAGCCTTGTTTCCAGTTTGCCCGTGACCGGGAAGGGTCCTTCCTTGCAGGCCGCAGGAGGCTGCAGTGCAGGTTCCCTGCCAGTTTGTTTCCCCCCAGGCTGCTGCAAGGGAGATTGAGCAAGCATGAGAGGAGGTTTGGCGACGAGACGAAACAGGTCTTGCATTGTCAAACAAGACTCACAAGCGTGACAATAACGAAGCATGCATTACAGGAGAGTGAGTGTAGGGAAGCCGCCAAAAACATATCTTGAGTCGTCAAGTAACACTAACAAGCGTGACTAAAACGAAAGAAAGGCATTACAGGTAGGTGAGTGCAGGGAAGCCGTCAAATATGGGAACAGAGCTGTTGAGTTTGTTGCTTGCAAGGTTGCTGGGGGGAGGGAGTGGGGTGCAAGGGGAGGCGGGTGGGAAGGGGGGAAACAGTGAGTCAACTCAACAAGTGGAACTGCAAATATGGGAACAGAGCCGTTGAGCTTGTTGCTTGCAAGGTTGCTGGGGGAAGGAATAGGAGGGAAAGGGCGGGAGAGGAAGGAAGATTCTGATTCAATACAAGTGGAAACCTAAAGATGGGAACAGAGCCATGGAGTTTGTTGCTTGCAAGGTTGCTGGGGGAAGCAGGAGGGGGGAAGGGTGAGAAAGAGGGAGAGGAAAATGAAAAATGTGGTTTAATACAAGTGGAGCGTCGAATATGGGAACAGAGCCGTTGAGTTTGTTGCTTGCAAGGTTGCTGAGGAACGGAAGGGGGGAAGGGGGGGTAGGTGTGGGGGGGAGTGGGAAGCGGAATGGTGACATGTGTGAGTCAAGTGATTTGGGGGGCTGTGAAGAGGGCTGTGAAGAGGGCTGTGAAGAGGGCTGTGAAGAGGGCTGTGAAGAGGGCTGTGAAGAGGGCTGTGAAGAGGGCTGTGAAGAGGGCTGTGAAGAGGGCTGTGAAGAGGGCTGTGAAGAGGGCTGTGAAGAGGGCTGTGAAGAGGGCTGTGAAGAGGGCTGTGAAGAGGGCTGTGAAGAGGGCTGTGAAGAGGGCTGTGAAGAGGGCTGTGAAGAGGGCTGTGAAGAGGGCTGTGAAGAGGGCTGTGAAGAGGGCTGTGAAGAGGGCTGTGAAGAGGGCTGTGAAGAGGGCTGTGAAGAGGGCTGTGAAGAGGGCTGTGAAGAGGGCTGTGAAGAGGGCTGTGAAGAGGGCTGTGAAGAGGGCTGTGAAGAGGGCTGTGAAGAGGGCTGTGAAGAGGGCTGTGAAGAGGGCTGTGAAGAGGGCTGTGAAGAGGCTGTGAAGAGGGCTGTGAAGAGGGCTGTGAAGAGGGCTGTGAAGAGGCTGTGAAGAGGGCTGTGAAGAGGGCTGTGAAGAGGGCTGTGAAGAGGGCTCTGTGAAGAGGGCTGTGAAGAGGGCTGTGAAGAGGGCTGTGAAGAGGGCTGTGAAGAGGGCTGTGAAGAGGGCTGTGAAGAGGGCTGTGAAGAGGGCTGTGAAAGAGGGCTGTGTGAAGAGGGCTGTGAAGAGGGGCTGTGAAGAGGGCTGTGAAGAGGGCTGTGAAGAGGGCTGTGAGGAGGGCTGTGAAGAGGGCCTTGTAGAGGGAAGAGGCTGTGAAGAGGGCTGTGAAGAGGGCTGTGAAGAGGTCTGTGAAGAGGGCTGTGAAGAGGGCTGTGAAGAGGGCTGTGAAGAGGGCTGTGAAGAGGGCTGTGAAGAGGGCTGTGAAGAGGGCTGTGAAGAGGGCTGTGAATGAGGGCTGTGAAAGAGGGCTGTGAAGAGGGCTGTGAAGAGGGCTGTGAAGAGGGCTGTGAAGAGGGCTGTGCAAGAGGGCTGTGAAGAGGGCTGTGAAGAGGGCTGTGAAGAGGGCTGTGAAGAGGGCTGTGAAGAGGGCTGTGAAGAGGGCTGTGAAGAGGGCTGTGAAGAGGGCTGTGAAGAGGGCTGTGAAGAGGGCTGTGAAGAGGCTGTGAAGAGGGCTGTGAAGAGGGCTGTGAAGAGGGCTGTGAAGAGGGCTGTGAAGAGGGCTGTGAAGAGGGCTGTGAAGAGGGCTGTGAAGAGGGCTGTGAAGAGGGCTGTGAAGAGGGCTGTGAAGAGGGCTGTGAAGAGGGGCTGTGAAGAGGGCTGTGAAGAGGGCTGTGAAGAGGGCTGTGAAGAGGGCTGTGAAGAGGGCTGTGAAGAGGGCTGTGAAGAGGGCTGTGAAGATGGCTGTGAAGAGGGCTGTGAAGAGGGCTGTGAAGAGGCTGTGAAGAGGGCTGTGAAGAGGGCGTGAAGAGGGCTGTGAAGAGGGCTGTGAAGAGGGCTGTGAAGAGGGCTGGAAGAGGGCTGTGAAGAGGGCTGTGAAGAGGGCTGTGAAGAGGGCTGTGAAGAGGGCTGTGAAGAGGGCTGTGAAGAGGGCTGTGAAGAGGGCTGTGAAGAGGGCTGTGAAGAGGGCTGTGAAGAGGGCTGTGAAGAGGGCTGTTGAAGAGGGCTGTGAAGAGGGCTGTGAAGAGGCTGTGAAGAGGGCTGTGAAGAGGGCTGTGAAGAGGGCTGTGAAGAGGGCTGTGAAGGGGCTGTGAAGAGGGCTGTGAAGAGGGCTGTGAAGAGGGCTGTGAAGGGGCTGTGAAGAGGGCTGTGAAGAGGGCTGTGAAGAGGGCTGTGAAGAGGGCTGTGAAGAGGGCTGTGAAGAGGGCTGTGAAGAGGGCTGTGAAGAGGGCGTGAAGAGGGCTGTGAAAGAGGGCTGTGAAGAGGGCTGTGAAGAGGGCTGTGAAGAGGGCTGTGAAGAGGGCTGTGAAGAGGGCTGTGAAGAGGGCTGTGAAGAGGGCTGTGAAGAGGGCTGTGAAGAGGGCTGTGAAGAGGGCTGTGAAGAGGGCTGTGAAGAGGCGTGAAGAGGGCTGTGAAGAGGGCTGTGAAGAGGGCTGTGAAGAGGGCTGTGAAGAGGGCTGTGAAGAGGGCTTGAGAGGCTGTGAAGAGGGCTGTGAAGAGGGCTGTGAAGAGGGCTGTGAAGAGGGCTGTGAAGAGGGCTGTGAAGAGGCTGTGAAGAGGCTGTGAGAGGGCTGTGAAGAGGGCTGTGAAGAGGGCTGGGACGAGGGCTGTGAAGAGGGCTGTGAAGAGGGCTGTGAAGAGGGCTGTTGAGAGGGCTGTGAAGATGGCTGTGAAGAGGGCTGTGAAGAGGGCGGTGAAGAGGGGGCTGTGAAGAGGGCTGTGAAGAGGGCTGTGAAGAGGGCTGTGAAGAGGGCTGTGAAGAGGGCTGTGAAGAGGGCTGTGAAGAGGGCTGTGAAGAGGGCTGTGAAGAGGGCTGTGAAGAGGGCTGTGAAGAGGGCTGTGAAGAGGGCTGTTGAAGAGGGCTGTGAAGAGGGCTGTGAAGAGGGCTGTGAAGAGGGCTGTGAAGAGGGCTGTGAAGAGGGCTGTGAAGAGGGCTGTGAAGAGGGCTGTGAAGAGGCTGTGAAGTAGGGCTGTGAAGAGGGCTGTGAGAGGGGCTGGAAGAGGGCTGTGAAGAGGGCTGTGAAGAGGGCTGTGAAGAGGGCTGTGAAAGAGGGCTGTGAAGAGGGCTGTGAAGAGGGCTGTGAAGAGGGCTGTGAAGAGGCTGTGAAGAGGGCTGTGAGAGGGCTGTGAAGAGGGCTGTGAAGAGGGCTGTGAAGAGGGCTGTGAAGAGGGCTGTGAAGAGGGCTGTGAAGAGGGCTGTGAAGAGGGCTGTGAAGAGGCTTGTGAGAGGGCTGTGAAGAGGGCTGTGACGCGAGGCTGTGAAGAGGGCTGTGAAGAGGGCTGTGAAGAGGGCTGTGAGAGGGCTGTGAAGAGTGCTGTGAGAGGGCTGTGACGAGGGCTGTGAAGAGGGCTGTGAAGAGGGCTGTGAAGAGGGCTGTGAAGAGGGCTGTGAAGAGGGCTGTGAAGAGGGCTGTGAAGAGGGCTGTGAAGAGGCTGTGAAGAGGGCTTGATGAAGAGGGCGTGAAGAGGGCTGTGAAGAGGGCTGTGAAGAGGGCTGTGGAAGAGGGCTGTGAAGAGGGCTGTGAAGAGGGCTGTGAAGAGGGCTGTGAAGAGGGCTGTGAAGAGGGCTGTGAAGAGGGCTGTGAAGAGGCTGTGAAGAGGGCTGTGAAGAGGGCTGTGAAGAGGGCTGTGAAGAGGGCTGTGAAGAGGGGCTGTGAAGAGGCCTGTGAGAGGGCTGTGAAAGAGGGCTGTGAAGAGGCCTGTGAGAGGGCTGTGAAGAGGGCTGTGAAGAGGGCTGTGAAGAGGGCTGTGAATGAGGGCTGTGAAGAGGGCTGTGAAGAGGGCTGTGAAGAGGGCTGTGAAGAGGGCTGTGAAGAGGGCTGTGAAGAGGGCTGTGAAGAGGGCTGTGAAGAGGGCTGTGAAGAGGGCTGTGAAGAGGGCTGTGAAGAGGGCTGTGAAGAGGGCTGTGAAGAGGGCTGTGAAGAGGGCTGTGAAGAGGCTGTGAAGAGGGCTGTGAAGAGGGCTGTGAAGAGGGCTGTGAAGAGGGCTGTGAAGAGGGCTGTGAAGAGGGCTTGAAGAGGCTGTGAAGAGGGCTGTTAAGAGGGCTGTGAAGAGGGCTGTGAAGAGGGCTGTGAAGAGGGCTGTGAAGAGGGCTGTGAAGAGGGCTGTGAAGAGGGCTGTGAAGAGGGCTGTGAAGAGGGCTGTGAAGAGGGCTGTGAAGAGGGCTGTGAAGAGGGCTGTGAAGAGGGCTGTGAAGAGGGCTGTGAAGAGGGCTGTGAAGAGGCTGTGAAGAGGGCTGTGAAGAGGGCTGTGAAGAGGGCTGTGACGAGGGCTGTGAAGAGGGCCTGTGAAGAGGGCTGTGAATGAGGGCTGTGAAGAGGGCTGTGAAGAGGGCCTGTGAAGAGGGCTGTGAAGAGGGCTGTGAAGAGGCTGTGAAGAGGGCTGTGGAAGAGGGCTGTGAAGAGGGCTGTGAAGAGGGCTGTGAAGAGGGCTGTGAAGAGGGCTGTGAAGAGGGCTGTGAAGAGGGCTGTGAAGAGGGCTGTGAAGAGGGTGTGAGAGGGCTGTGAAGAGGGCTGTGAAGAGGGCTGTGAAGAGGGCTGTGAAGAGGGCTGTGAAGAGGGCTGTGAAGAGGGCTGTGAAGAGGGCTGTGAAGAGGGCTGTGAAGAGGGCTGTGAAGAGGGCTGTGAAGAGGGCTGTGAAGAGGGCTGTGAAGAGGGCTGTGAAGAGGGCTGTGAAGAGGGCTGTGAAGAGGGCTGTGAAGAGGGCTGTGAAGAGGGCTGTGAAGAGGGCTGTGAAGAGGGCTGTGAAGAGGGCTGTGAAGGAGGGCTGTGAAGAGGGCTGTGAAGAGGGCTGTGAAGAGGGCTGTGAAGAGGGCTGTGAAGAGGGCTGTGAAGAGGGCTGTGAAGAGGGCTGTGAAGAGGGCTGTGAAGAGGGCTGTGAAGAGGGCTGTGAAGAGGGCTGTGAAGAGGGCTGTGAAGAGGGCTGTGAAGAGGGCTGTGAAGAGGGCTGTGAAG